TATATATATGCAGTGCATGCTACATAGAATCGTGATTTCATATTGTTTACAAAGTGGAAATTTTTATCTATCATCTAATTCTCAAAATTTATTGTAAATACATTTTGTGCCAACTTAACGAATTTAATATATTTTACAGAAAAAAAGTAATTAAATAATTTAAAATAAATATAATTTAATTTGCATATATTTAATTAATCAAAAATTTTCTGACATGAATTTGATCGAGAATTTTTGAAAAGCTCGTCAAAAAATGCTACGAAATCGCTGCTAAATGCACTATGAAGCATTAAATGAAGCATTAAATAAATAAATAATTCATGTGCATGTACAAAAATATGTATAGATTATACAAAAATTATCTTTATATATTACAACTACTTTGTAACATATTTGTATATATTACAGATTAAATTATAGATAAATCGCTCTTCCGTATATATCTCTTATATTTACACGAGAAATTACGTTTATCTTCATCAGGTCGTTACATCTTTTTTCCGCTAATGAGATCAGCAAGACCCCCCCTCCCCTCCTTATAATTTCCGAGTTCCCCGGGTCTTCGCGGTCGCGCGAAGAAGAAGAAAAGTGCCGTTGCACTCATACGTGGGAGCGGTGAACATTGCGGGGGCGAGAACGGCGAGGGATGAGAACCCCCTGTCCTTTCTCTCACGAGCGCATATCCATGGTGGGACTCCCGCGGCACGCCGAGAGAAGGGAGTTTCTCGTGGTTGCTGCTTGCCGCTCACGGGCATACTTTTCACCAGTCGCGAATACTGTCAGTGAGCGTCAGACGCAACGCGACGCGACTCGCGATCGCGGTGTCCTCCTTCGTCCAGGAAGGAACTTCTCCTCCCGCATCGTCTCCAAGCGAGATAACTGCGTGCGACGCGTCGCGACACCGTTTAACGCTGTTTAACGCCGTCTAACGTCGTTTATCGCCGTTTATCGGCCGTCTGTGTCGAAGGTCCGGGTCACGAGACGCGAGGGGGACGATTTCGATCAGTCCTGTCTATGTCTTCGTAGATATCACTCGAGCAGAGCTCGTCGATGAGCCTTTCTTTATTCGTGTCTGTGTACAGACGGAGACGGTATAATTAGCGCGACTCCAAAGGACGGAAGCGCATCCTGCGAGGACTCTCAGGTTCCTCTGGCTGAGGAGAGGATCGGCGGTGACCGGCGATGACTCGGTCGGCTTTTCCGCCCAACGTTCCGCAACGCGCCGGGGTTCGCCAGTGACGAACGACCGGATGGCGGAAGTCGCGAATGAATGGTCGTGAATGCGCGGCTCCGACGTCAATGTCCGTCCAACTTGTCTTTCTCGGTCTTGTCGTCCGTCTGTCGGCAGTCCGCCTACTTTCGTCGTCGTAACGGAATAGTAAACCACATAAATATCAGGACGGACAGGTCGAGGCGCGCTGGCGGCTTTCGTGCCCAATGATCGATGCGAAAGTCCGGCAGATAGGTGGATTTTTCTTACACGCAGCGTCGTCGATCTTCTTCCTGGACGGACGCCAGACTCGTGCGCGATGCCTCTCGATTATCCCACTTGAAACCTCACGTTGAAAATTACTCGCAATTTGCCACTCGCCATCCTCATGGACCGCTTTGGACCTCATGGACAGCTGATAGCTCCGTTTTATTCGTATACGAGGATCGATCGATAATAAGCAGCGCCATCATAGGAAGATCGAAAATAGACATAGACCGGATCTCGTAGACGGAAGAATCTCGAGGATGCATCTACCTGCAGAAAGAACGCCGTTAGTCTCGTCTCACCGGATGAAAGCTACGCCGGCGTTGTCGCCGCGCGGCTCTCGGCTCGTGACCTTTGCGCGCGACGAGTAGAGCACGGAGTACGAGAGAGGCGAGTTCGAAAAGGGAAAAAAACGTCGCGAGCGAAAGTCCCGGCCGGCCGACTCGGCCTCTCGATCCCTGCCAGATCTCCGTTCGCACGCGAGTTTCGAGGTCAT